TCCAATACTGTCCAGTTTTTCTTCCTTTGCTCAGGAACCTCTGCAGAAGGTTGCTACCAGTCGGCCATCAACATTCTCCTGCAATCGTAGGAGTTGGCAATTCCAAAGTCTGCAGGGTGGGCCAGCAGGTTGAGAACCCAGGGACTATCTGGTGCTGCAGCCTGAGGCTGGAGGCAGAATCCTACCCATTAACTTTTTATTGCTTATTTTTTTTTTCTTCAGAACACTATTCAGCTCTATGAAATAATCATTTTATTTGTTTACTTATTAAGCATTTGTCTCTTCTCTGGACTATAAGCTCGGCAAATGAGAGCAGAGTTTTTTCTGTTTTGTTTGCTACTACACTTGGAGCACCTGGAACATTTGCTTAGCTCTGAGCAGGTGTTCAGTGAGTATTTGTTGCATGAACCAATGAAGAACTTTGGTGGAATAGAAAAAAAAATCAACTAATAGTTTCAGTTTGATTTTCCTTTGGGAAGGTTGAGTTCGTTTATTTGCTATGTATTTATCTCCAATCATTTATCTTTCATTTATTAAGTTCCAATTATATGTCTTGTTTGGAGCTACTGTAGCATTATGGCAGCAGGTGGCTGTAGATTAGTTTTCTCCTGAACTTCCAGAAGTGCCTCCAAGAGAAGCATTACTATTCCCCTTTTATAGATGACGAAGCTAAGTCTTTGTTTGAGCGGAAGCATCTTATCTACAAGCTCAGTGTCTCAAAGCCTGCTTTAGAATTCAGACCTCACTTGAGTGCCCATATTCTTGCATGTAAGCTATCTACCCCATTTAGAGAAAGGAAACTGAGGCACAAATAAGTTTAAGGACTTGTCTAAAGTCCAAGGCAAGTGGGTGCTGGTACCTAGGCAGGGTTCTTGTCTTCCTCCTTCTGGCACATAGATGTCCACCTTCTTCCCTGTTAGGAAAGCTTCCCTGCTCTGAGATTCTCCAGTCACTCAATTTTGCAAATTTTCATTTCTTCAGTCAAGTTATACCATACTTCTTTGTGTTCATTCTATAACCAGTTCTCTGTCTAGCAGATGTGTATATTTCTTATCTCTCAAACTAGACTCTAAGCTCCTTAAAAATACCCATAACAGTGGCAGCCATTTGCTGATTACTGCGCTAAGTACTTCCTACATTTATCTCACAGTATTGTTGTCTATCTCTGGATAACAAATTTCTCCTAAATCAAGAAGCTTAAAGCCAAAGCATTAATTACCCCATGCAATTTTTAAAGGCTCAGAAATTCAAGAGGGGATTAGATGTGTGGTCCTGGCACCTACAAGTTGTAGTCAAGATATCAGCTGGGGCTGCTTCATCTGAACAGACTCGACTGGGGCTGGAGCATTCCTTTGCAAGCTCATGCATGTGCTGCCAGGCTTTAGCCTCAGCAGCTGCTGGTCAGAGGCTCTGGTTCAACAGTCACAGGACTGTTGAAAACACGGCAGCTTGTTTTCACTAGGCAAGTGAAGAGGGGGGAGTGAGAGAGAGAAAGAGAGAAATGGAAGCCTCATTCTTCAGTAACCTGATCTTGGAAACCACATACACCTCTTCTGCTACATGCTATTGGGCATGAAGATCAATCATGGTGTAGTGCAGGAGGGCCTACAGAAGTGCGTTAGCGCCGGGAATCACTGGGGACCATCCCTGGGGCTGTCTGCCACACTGCTTTCCCCTCTCGTTAATCATGTGAAGATAAGAGACTTTAAGTCCCTGCCTGAAGCTTACGCAGCTTCTAAGAGGTGGTTTAGATTCAGCCCCAAGTCAGTATGCAGACATGGAACATCCTATCAGGCACCCTGCTGGTTCATTCAACAAACAACAAGCATCTACTATGTGCCAGGCAGTTGAAGACAAGCCAGCCATGGTCAGGCTATTACAAAGTTTGCATGGTGGTGGAGGAGACAGATGATAAGAAGTGAGAATTGAAATAATATACAAGTAATCCCACATGAGAACAGGCCTAGGTCTCATCTGCCTCCACTGATCCTGGAGGGCATGGGTGTGAAGTTCATGATGGGTGAAGGAATGATCATACAGGGGTAACTGGTGAAACTACTTTGCGTGCTCCGAATGCCCCTCCTGCATTCATGGATCAAATCTAGGTATAATTCTGGGTATCTAGGTATAATTCTGCTTTTAATTTGCTGTGTGATATTAATCAAGTCCCTTGAACTTTCTGAGGCTCAGTTTCCCATCTGAAAATCATCCTAAGGAAAGAGACGAAGGGATCTATGTTTGTCTGCCAGTCAGTAAGTGATGGGTGGGGGGAGAGCGAGTGACTTGCCCTGGAGGTAGCTAAGAGCTATAGGTATTATCTGAAAGTCTGAGAATCTCTGCTTCTGCAGCCACCAAACTGCTCATATGTTACTCTCCCCTCAGTTTCCTCATCTGTAAAATGAGAATAATGATCCTACCTGCCTGCATCAATTTCTTCTGCTTGCTGTAATGAATTTCCACAAGCTAGGTGGCAGATGACAGAAATTTATTCTCTCAATTCTGGAGGCCAAAAATGCAAAGTCAAGGTGTAGTGAGGGTCCTGCCCCACTCTGGACACTCAGGAAGGTATTGTGCACCTCCTCCAGCTTCGGGCAGCTGTAGCATTGGTTGCTTTGTGGCCAGATAGCTCCATTTATCACCCTACCTGCACCCTACCTGTTTCCTTCTCCTCAGTGTGTGACTTCCTTCTGCCTCCCTCCTGTGAGGTCATCCAGGATGGCATTTAGGGGTCAATCTGAAAAATTCAGAAGCATCTTCTCAAGAGCTTTGACTTAATCACATCTTCAAAAAAAAAAAAAAATTACCAGAAGAGTAACATTCGCAGATTCCAGGTTCCAGAGGTTAGAACAGGGACATCTATTAGGAGCCATAATCAGCCTAGCTCCTATGTTTGCTATAAAGATTAAATGAGTAAAAACAGGTAAAATGTTCGGAGAGTACCTGGATTGTAGTGAGCACTTTTAAAAAAAAAAAAAATTAAATCATAGCTGTGTACATTAATGCAATCATGGGGTACAATGTACTGGCTTTATATACAATTTTAAATATTTTCATCAAACTGGTTAACATAGCCTTTGCAGCATTTTCTTAGCTATTGTGTTTAGACATTTATATTCTACACTTAGCATGTGAAATTTACTAAGTGAATACTCTTTTAAAAGAACAAAAGTGGTAGAGAATCAGTGGGGATTGGAAAGAACTGAGGCGAATACGCTGTCCCAGGTTGTCTATCTGCCAGTGCCTGGGGAGAAGGTCAGTCATTCTTCTCAGCACCCGTCCCTGCGTCTGTGCAGACAGACAGAACCCCAGCTCCAGCCTCAGCAAATGTCTCCATGTGACCCCGTGACCAGGTGCCCTCCTGTCTGATGGTGAGTGTTCAGTGACAAGCAGGGGCCTCCTCTGAGCTTGTATTAATATATACAGCTCTTCACTCACACGGAAAATTGATTTTTTCTTTTTAAGCACAAAATGTAGCAGTTTTATAACCTTTCTGCAGCTTGACACGGGCCATTTATAACCTACCTTCTCTGTCACCCTTCCTGGCGCCAGTCTCAAATGTCTTAAAGAACTCTCTCTTGTGCATTTGTAATTAGAAATTCTTCTTAGGCAAAATTTAACTTCCAATAGGGCTGACCTTTGTTACTGTTGTTATGGTTTTTGTAAATTAATTTGTATTGTTTGTTTTGTTATTGATGTTGGTCAGGATGATGGCTTGTTGGGGGGAGCCGAAAGCTGGCTGTGGTGGGGGTAGGGGAAGATGCCCAGGGAAGGCATTTTAATCAGTGATGTCCAGTGATGGATGGAGAGGGCTGGGCTCTGGGTGTTAATCTTTGAGGACAGGAAATGCCAGCAAGATGACTGAAATTAAAACCTGGTACCTCATTTTGTCTTCTGAAGGCAGGAGTGTTGGCATTGCTTCTCTATCAGCTGGGCTGGAGAAGATGAGCTCAGCCTCATCAAATGATAGAAAACTAAATACATAACCAGCTGTCCCCACAGTGTAAGGTCTTCCATTTCCAGGGCTCTTAGCAGGTGTCAGACTCACTGGCAAGAGCCTTCCAGCTGAGGTCGTTGAAGGGTGGACTCCCTAGAATTTGCTTAGGGCCCAGAGGGTTACATGCAGGGACGTGCCCATGGCCAGGCAGCACATTTGGGATCATCTGATGGATTTAAAAATCCATCTACTTATGTAAGCTGAGGAGGGATGCTATTTAGAAATATCAGGCCAGTGGCTTTTTGCAGGATGATTTTACAGAGGCCAGACTGGTCAGGGGCCCTTTGCACATTTCTGTTGTGACCTGTGCAGGAATCTCACTTAGGGCTCCAAGGACAAAGGGGGAGAAGGAGACACCACTTCAAGACAAGAGGGAAGATAATTCACATTTTATGAGGATGAAATTATGTGCCAAATTCTGAAGTAAAGTATGCACTGGCACAAGCCAGTGTAAGCTTCACAGGAGAGCACCTGCGGGTGTCGGTGCCCATTAATAGAGGACGACCAGGGAGGCTCAGAGAGGGCAAGTAAGCTGCCTGGGTCACACAGTGAGAAGGCAAAGAGCTGCCATTTAATCTCGTTTGGCAGGAGCTCTTTAAAATATGAGAGGCTGCCTCCTCTCATGACTTTGATAGCAGCAGATCTATAGGGCAGTAACTGTAATAGTCGTAATGAAGATGATCCCAGCAACATCAGTATTAACAGCAGCTGATGTTTGCTGTACAGTTGTCACGTCAACCAGTGTTCAGAGCACCTTGCTGACATTATCAGCCTTCATTCTCTCAATACTATAAGCAGATAGTCACAAAAGTCCCATTTTACAGGCAGGTACACTGAGGTTCAGAGAGGTGAAGGGACTTGTCCAAGGCCACACACTGAAAGATGACTTTCAATTCATCTCTGTTGGTAGCTGACACATGTCACCTTTAGAAGGTGGGAGGAGAGGGCATGATGGGGCCCACCACCTCCTCAGCCATAACCACCCTGTTGCCCTCTCTCCGAGCAGTGCCCTGAAGAACTGAAACCCATGAAGGATGGCTCCGGCTGCTACGACCACTCCAAAGGCATCGACTGCTCCGATGGCTTTAACGGTGGCTGCGAGCAGCTGTGCCTGCAGCAGAC